TAATACGCATGATGTATTTACCTAGGAAACCTGCAAGGCTATTTCAGTCGTTTGCTTGTGATCTACCAACTCCATCCTCTAGTTTAAATTTATGATGTAGGACAGGGCCTCTGAACATGCATGTGGTAGTTTATAAACAATCGTTCTGGATGGAATTGATTTTAACATATTCATTATTTATAGGTGAGGGTGGAAGGACCTGTTCAGAAAGTTTCTGATGAGGAATCTGAGAATTATTTTCACAGTCGTCCTCGTGGAAGTCAGATTGGGGCAATAGTTAGCAAGCAGGTCTGTTTTCCTAGTTTCTTTTACATCATCTCATAATAATCATAATCATTGATTCTTTTCACAAAAAATCTATAAAACATTTTCATTTTTTATTTCTTTAATGATCAATTCCAGCTGTTTTGCTTTTCTTCAGAGTACTGTAGTTCCTGGGAGGCATGTTCTTCACCAAGAATACGAAGAACTGGAAGCCAAATTTTCTGATGGGTCAGTTTATTCAGTGACTAATTTTCAGTTAGCCTGAGACACATTTTGATCTTTAGCTTTTGTAGTATATATTTCTTTCTTTCTTTCAATATTCTCTTATTAAATTGGAGTTCTCTCTTGAATCATCCCTAACTAAAACTTTTATAATCATCTCTCTGTACTATGGATTAGTATGGTTTGCTCCAACAATTTGCTTAATTCTAAGTTCCCCTTAATCCAAACGAGAGTTCAGAACTCTCTCTTTAATGAGTTGCCGTGATTATGCTCTATTGAGAGTGAAAATACTGCCCACTGGCCCCGCTCAACTAAGCAAAGCTTTACCCCAACTGATTGGGCTTGGATACATGAAGCTTATTTTTTCATTGACTTTGTCATGGGCGTTTTCCTTTTCCTTTGGAAAATAAAGTGAATAAATTATACATAAGGTGTATTTTCTTAATGATTAAAATACACGAGGGCTGAGGCTATTTGCTTATCTGCCAAAATTCCAGCATCTGATGAATATATGGTCTCTCCTGGCAATGTGAAAAAAGTATTCCAATCTGATTGTCATCTATCTTAAAAAACAAAACCAGAGAGCCCTAGGGAGACAAAATAAGGAGAGGCTCAGAAAACAAAACCAGACAGACATACTGCATGCCATCTATCTCAGAAACCCCTACCAGAAATTCGTTGTAATTTTTTCCCTCTTTTCGTGGGGGTGAGGGGATGGAAGATGTTGTGGATACTTCTGAACTTTTATGGTGAACTGCTTCCATTTCATTTGGCATGCAGTTGTCTTAAACTGTCTTGTATCTTGCCAATCTAATCCATCGGAATAATAGTGGTGCTACTGCATTTTTATCAGCTTCTGGATTCCATGGGAAGAAAATTGTATATTACATTATGGTTCTGTTTATGTTGTCCAATCATTATGTAATGTATCATATATTATTGTGTATGGTGGCTCACCATAATGTACTTTGCAGTTTTATTATAAGGTGAAGTCCTGTTTGATTCATCTTTGACAGGTTTTACCATTTTTTAATTCTGAAATGAAACTTTTATTTAGGAACTTGAGCACAACTCATTACTTTATATCATTTATTTTGTGCCTACTTCACTAGTTGTGATTCCAAAAATGATGGGATACTGAGCAGAATCTCTCTTTCTGGTGAATATGCAGAAGCTTGATTCCCAAACCCAAGCACTGGGGAGGATACAGGCTCAAACCAGAGGTCGTTGAGTTCTGGCAAGGCCAACAATCCCGCCTACATGATAGGTAGGTCATTCTCATCTCTCTTGAAAATTGTTTGCTGATTGGTCTTAATTAATTGATGTAATCATGTAATTAGTAATGAAACTTTTCCTTGTTGGCAGGCTACAATACTCTCTCAAGGAGGTTGATGGAAAACAGATATGGAAAATTGAACGATTGGCCCCATGACTAGTATTTTCAGCATCTTCTTTATAATTATCATTTTAATCCATTAAAATTCAAGTATTTTCCTTCCGAATAACTTGCGAGTGGATAAAATTCAATGATGCAATTGCCGCACTTAGGGTGGTAAAGTACAAGTGGCGATTTGATTGGGTTGCGATAACAAATTAACAATTGCTATAGCACAATTTAACATTCTTATCGTAACAAGTATCGGTGCAAATTTAGACATGTTAACAATCTGATTGTTGGGCAGAGCGGGATGATCTTGGGACTCCGGATCCCCTGCCCACGTCTACCCACAACACACTAACCCTGGGCATTAGGAACTATCTTCCCATGCATAATACTATGTAGGAGGATGAGATGTTCTGTGTGGCTGTGATGATATGTATGAATACATGGGCAGAGTTATTGGGCAGGAGATCCGGACTCTGATCTTGGTTTAATGACTAACCAGAGGTAGGCCCACGTTCGTCAACCCAGGCCCAGTTTAAGCCTAATCCAACAAAATTTTGGTTGGGCTCTGGTTCAGGTTGGGTCAGGCCAAACTTAGTCTGGCACGGACAAGTTAGATAAGTTTGAAAGAACTTATGAGCATAAATTTATAGTCATCTTTTATTGAATTTGAAAATATGTAAAAATTCATTGCTGAGCATACATGTATACACAGATTTATAATATGAGAAAGGAAAGATTTTCTTATATAAATTTAATTATTTAACGCACATGTATGTATTTGTTTGGTGAGCTCTGGTTGGACCTGTACAAGTTGCATTCCTATTAGGCTATTATGCATACACTCCCCACTTGGTCTGATTTGGTAAGGATGCATTTGGTAGAGGTGTAAATACAAAAATCCATCGGTGTAAATCCAGAACCGTCAAATGTGTCAGTGTAAAAGACAAACCGGCCGAATGCATCTTTTACACTCTTCTACGTTTGGAAGAACGGTGTGAAACATCGGTGGATATTTTATACGCGTTTGGAGTGAACAATGGGGTGAACTGGTGTAGATAAGCCCAACCTGTCAACGAGTTTGGTCATCTCTCTGTGGTCTAGATTAGAGCTAGAAGAGTTGGATTTCAGAGAAGGGAAGCCACTGCACATGCATACAGAACCTCCGGTACCAGAAACAGATTTATGTCCAAGGACCAGCAGAGAGAGAGAGAGACGGAGGGAAATGAGGACAAATACTGGCAGGGGAATACCTTCGCTTGGGCTAGATTTGCAAATGCGTGCAGAGCCTCCGAGAAACAGATTTATGGCTATCGGCTGCGAGATGAGGGTGTATCTATTCGAATTGGGGTATAAAATTTACCTCGATTCAATTTTCCACCCCAAACAAACGTAGCCTAAGGAAAAAGGTTTCGTGAGTGTGTGTTTAGGAGGGGGGGGGTTTGAAAACTATGCTATGGGATACTAATTTTAAACAAAAGGTCCTTGGGCCTAAATTTGTTCCATGAAAATAAAGTTGAACACGGTGATTAAGGTCTACGAGTTGTTCCAATCTGGATGCATTGGGAGTGCCCTCTTAATTCAAGTAATGTGACAACCAAATATTGCATCTAGGAGAGAGGTTGTAGGCATCACCGTATGCACTGGGTTGAGGGATATGATCGGCTGAACATGTCTCATTGAGTTGGGCCAGTTGGCCATGAACGCCGGGATCCAATGGTTTGCACCATCAGAGATGCTCATTTAATCACCACTCATTTCTATTTGCCAAACAAGCCTTTTCTTTTGAGGGTTGTAATTCAAGGAAACCCCAAGATATTTTGTCTCTTCTTTGCACCATTACTAATGGAGATTATTTTCTTCTTGCGATTTCTTACTGACTAGGAGGCATCTAAGTTGCTATCAGACCAGAAACACGAGTGCAAGTGCACACTTAAACGGGTGATGTTGACTGTTGATAATGAAGATGGGGGTTCTGCATCCATACTTCACCAAAGAGCCCAGATTGGGTCGACCCTTAATCGATTATCACCCTATCTATGTTTATCTGTGAATGCCTGTGTCATATCTGCTCGATACTAATTTCCTGATCACTGTTTGCAACGACTAGAATCTACCTCAGGGTAGTGGACCTTGGGCTTGTAGCAGAACTACTCCTGTATATTGAGTCTGAACCCTCTTCTGTATTGACCAAGATAAAGATAAATTATACACTTATACACTTTGCAACCTAAGCAACACTTAAACAAAAGAACAGACTTGATTTTGCTCAGTAAACTTGATGCATTTGCATGTCTATAATCACAAATGAAGGCAATTTCTCCAGGCTCGCCAGGTTGGGTCGGGGCCTTCGATATATATTGCTCTTCTGGCATAATATTGCCTCTGAAAAATGGTCTCAGTTGTGTTTGGGAAAGAGCTAGAAGAGAAATGAACATGTTTGCTTTTCTTTTTCTTATTTTGATAGGCAAATGAAAATGTAACTTATTGTGCCTGTGGAGGACAGACCCGCCCATTGACCATCAAATGGTGATCTTGGCTGTTTGTAGTTTGTACCATGATACATTCTTTATTCATCCCAAACTCATATAAGAAATCTTCACTGTCCATTTGGTCCAAATGAAACATGTACGCACCTTTGGGTTTCTTATGCGTTGCCCACTTGGTCCACCACCTCTGGAGATGGCACTCCCAGCCCCACCCCCCAGCCTGTAAAAGAAAACGAGTACTACTTATGGATGTTTCTGCCTTTCTGGTATGTAATTTTCATAGAATGTTCACCCTGATCTTTGAGCCAAGTGGGACTCCACCATGAAAATTTGAGTTTTGAACTTTTGACCGGGCTCAACTTGAAGCCTGTCACCTGACTCATCTTTTTGAAAGGCTGAAAATTTGGGGCTAAGCTTTTTTTTTTTTTTTCTTTTCTTTTCTTTTAAAAACTAATTGGAAGAAAGCTTATCCATGGCACCCAAAAGCCTTACTGAGCTCTGAGCCTCTGAGGGAGAAATTACATATATAGAAGATTCTCTTAGCTCACATATCCATAAAAGCTTAGAGAAGATGAAACAGAAAGCACCTTATATAGTTATATATATGGCCTGCTGCATGTCCCTACGTAGGGTGCAGTTTTATTTGCTTGTCATGACAAATATCCATATGGGTGGTTAATTGAGAACATTTCCATGAACCCATTTAATAACCATTAATGACCCTTGAGAGCCAGGG